ACGCACACACGCACGCACACGCACACACACACACGCGCACACGCGCGCACACACGCGCACGCGCACACGCGCACACACGCACACGCACGCACGCACCCCGCATTTTTTAATCGCATTATGTTTACGGTTTGGTTTCACGCGTCGTTTTACGTTTTGTTTTGCGCGCTGTTTTTACGCATTGTTTCGACGGGTTTTTTACGTGTTGCTTTGATGTGTTGTGCGCGCGTTGTTCTTGCGTGTGTTAGACGCAATTGTGAGTGTATTTCGCGGTATGCTTACGTGCTTTTACGTGGTATGCTGTCTACATAGTGTGTTACGGATTGCTCGTGCGCGTTGTTTTGATGTGTTGTTTTGACGTGACTATTCTGCTTTACATGATGTGTTGCGTATTGTTTTACGTTTTGTTATCTTCGCTGATAATTTAATCCCTCGTTGGATTGACCTATTGGTTTACGCGTTGCTCGTGCGTGTTGTTACGCGTTGTTTTAGGCATTGTTTTGCGCGTTGTTTTTACGCGTTGTTTTACGTGTTGTTTTAGTGGGTAGAACGAATTTTCTGGTGTATTACGCGCTGTGCTTACGTAGTGCTTGCGCGTTGTGGTCACGTGTTGTCTTGACGTATGGTTGATGCGCATTGTATATATGGGTTGTTTTGTTCACTTTTTTATACGTTTTGTTTTTACGCATTGTGCGTGAGTTATATATATATATATATATATATATATGTATATGTATATATATATATATATATATATATATATATATATATATATGCGCGCTGGTTTCACGCATTGTGGTAACGCGCTGTTTTTGCGTTATATATATATATATACATACATACATATTAAAAGCAAAAAAAAAATGCAAAAAAACGCGGTTTGAATTAAATTTCACGCGTGTTACGCGTTGTGCCCGCGTAATGTTTACGCGTTGCGATCGCGTGCTGGTTTAACGTATTGTTTGTGCGCATTGTTTTTATGCGCTGTCGTTTCGCGTTGATTTCATTCATGGTTTTTTGACGCCTTAAAAAAACTGCTCCTTTTTTTTTAGGAAAAAATATTTCGTGGGCTTTCTTTGCGCGTTCCATATTGTTTTTGCGCGCTGGTTTTGCGCATTGTTTTAACGCGCTGTTTTTGAGTTATATATATATATATATATATATATATATTCAAAGCAAAAAAACGCTGTTTGAATTAAATTTCACGCGTGTTATGCGTTGTGCCCACGTAATGTTTACGCGCTGCGATCGCGTGCTGGTTTAACGCACTGTTTGTGCGCATTGTTTTTACGCGCTGTTGTTTCGTTTTTTTTTTTTTTTTTTTTTTTTTTTTTTTTTTTTTTTTTTTTTTTTTTTTTTTTTTTTTTTTTTTTTTTTTTTTTTTTCCTCCCCCGCGTTGCTTTCACGCGTGGTCTTTACGGATTGTTTTTCTTGTTGTGTTTTACGCATTGTTTTTTGCAGTGAATTGTTATGTTCGTCTTCTTCGCGTGTTTTACGCGGGTTGAGCGACCTTTCACGGGCGTTGCACGTCGTGCTCGTGTTTTTTTGGTGTTTCCGCGTTGTGATCGCGCCTTGTTTTAACGTGCTGTTTTTACGCATTGCTGTTAAGTGTTGCTGTTTCGCCTTGCTTTCGCGCGCAATTTTTTTACGCATTCCTTCAGCATTGTTTGCGCGCGTTGTTTGCACGTGCTGTCTTTACGCGGGTTCAGCGAACTTTCACGTGTATTACGCGCTGTGCGCGCGTAATGTTTACGCGTTGTGATCGCGCGCTGTTTTAGCGCATTGTTTTTACGTGCTGTTTTTCCTTTTGTGTTTTTTATATTAAAATGTTGCTCTTGCGCGTTGTTGTGACGCATTGTTTTTACGCGGTGCGTTTACTCATTGTTTGCGCGGGTCGTTGTCTTCTCGCGTTTACGCATCGTCTTCGCGCATTAGTTTCATGTGTTGTTGTTTGTTTTTTCTCTCCCTCGTATTGTTTTATTGGTTTTGTGTGGTTTCCAAGTGGTTTGCACGTGTTGTGTTACTTGTTGTTTCCACGCGTTGTTTCCGCGTATTGTTTTTACGTGTCGTCTTCTTATCGCGCTTGCGCATCGTTTGCACGCGTTGTTTTTACGCGTTGTTTTTACGTGGGTTGAGCGAACAGTCGCGTGCATTACGCGCTGTGCTTACGCAGTGTTCGCGCGTTGTGGTTGCGTGTTGTGCGCGTCTCTCTCTCTCTCTCTCTCTCTCTCTCTCTCTCTCTCTCTCTCCCCCTCTATCTCTCTCTCTCTCTCTCTATCTCTCTCTTCTTCGTCTTTACGCATTGGTTTTACGCGCTGTTGTCGCGTGTTGTTTCTACTTGGGTTGAACGAATTCTCACGTGTATTACGCGTTGTGCTCACGTGGTGTTTACGCGTTGTGGTCCACGTGCTGTTTTAACGTATTGTTTTCGTGCATTGATTTGCATGCGTTGTTGTGTCGTATTGTGTTTACGCGTTGTTTTACGCGTTGTTTTACGCATTGATTTTTTGCGCGCTGCTTTTGCGTTTTGTTTTCATTCGTTGTTTCACGTATTGTTTTTGCGCGTTGCTATTGCTTGCTGTTTTTGCGAGTTGTTCTACGTGTTATTGTTACCTGGGTTGGCAGACTTTTAACGCATAGTGTTATGTGCTGTTTTTGTGTGTTTTTTGTTTGTGTTTTACGTATTGTGTTCATTGTTTTTTTTTTGTGCGCGTTGTTCCCACGCGTTGTTTTTTTGCGAGTTGTTCTTGCGCGTTGCTTGTGCGTGATTGGAACGATGTTTCACGTATGACGCGTTGTGCGTACGTGGTGTTCGCGCGTTGTGATTGCGCGTTTTTTTTTTTTCTCTTCCTCCCTTCTTCTTCCTCCTTCCGTTGTGCTCACGAAGTGTTTACGCATTGTGACCCACGTGTTGTTTTAACGTACTGTGTTCACGTATTGTTTTTTATGTGTTGTTGTGTCCTATTGTTTTACGTGTTGTTTTTATTCATGGTTTTACGCATTGTGTTTTGCCGCTGCTTTTGCGTATTATTTTCACGCGTTGTTTTTACGTCTTGTTTTACGTGTTGTTATTGCGCATTGTTTTTACGCGTTCCTTGTGCGTGTTATTTTTTCGTGGGTTGACATATTTTTAACGCATTGTTTTACGTAATGTTTTTGCGTAATGTTTTGTTTTGTGTTGTTTTTTACTTGTTGTTTTCACGCTTTTTCTTTATATCCGCAAGGGCTTCGCCCTCTCTCGGAGAATGGGCCATGGAAGAGCTAAGTCATGAGGCTTTGGCGCTGTCGCGCAGCAGCATCGGAACTTCATGCGATGCCGATTCGCAATCGGCATTAGGGGGTTACCACACAGGGCGATTAGTAAGACGTGTATGGTTTACGAGCTTGGTTACCACACCTTGGGATTAAAGGGCCGAGGGAGTACTCGCAGTTTGGGTTACCACGCCTTGCGATGGACGCGCGCGAGGGGTGGCACCGAATTTCAGAAATGTGGCAAATCCCATGTGTTTTGGGACCCTGACCCCGCGGATCTGCGTGAGGGGTGGCACCGAATTTCAGAAATGTAGCAAATCCCTTGTGTTTTTGGACCCTGGCCCCGCGGACGTGCGTGAGGGGTGGCACCGAATTTCAGAAATGTGGCAAATCCCATGTGTTTTTAGACCCTGACACCGCGGATGTGCGTGAGGGGTGGCACCGAATTTCAGAAATGTGGCAAATCCTTTTGTTTTTGACCCCTGACCCCGCGGATGTGCGCGAGGGGTTGCGCCGAATTTCAGAAATGTGGCAAATCCATTGTTTTTGGACCCTGACCCCGCGGATCTGCGTGAGGGGCGGCACCGAATTTCAGAAATGTAGCAAATCACTTTCTGTGTTTTTGGACCCTGGCCCCGCGGATCTGCGTGAGGGGTGGCACCGAATTTCAGAAATGTTGCAAATCCCATGTGTTTTTGGACCCTGACCCCGCGGATCTGCGTGAGGGGTGGCACCGAATTTCAGAAATGTGGCAAATCCCATGTGTTTTTGGACCCTGACGCGGATCTGCGTGAGGGTGACACCGAATTTCAGAAATGTGGCAAATCCCATGTGTTTTTGGACCCTGACCCCGCGGATCTGCGTGAGGGGTGTCGATTTCGAGCCCCCCCAGCAATTCAGACAACGCGCCCAGGGATGCTAAAAATCCCGTTTGGGCCTCCCCCCCCTCGCGCGGTCAATCAACTAGTTACAGTAACCAGCAAGAAGCAGAACTGTAACACTGGAAACTACAAGCTACAACTGGTACTGGAAACTGCGAACCCGCGCCTCGCAGCCTGGTGGCCCCACAAGGGGGCCGGCGGATATATATATATATATATATATATATATATATATATATATATATAATATATATATATATATATCCGCAGTATCGAGCTCGAGGAGGAAGCTCGAGCTCGCGCAGTATCCTTGGGAGTGGATCGTGGGGAGGGTGCGCTGTCTAAGCCGCGGCTTGAGTGGCTTGCCCGCGAGCCGCGTTCCACCTTTCAGGCCCATTTGTGCTTCAGTGCGGCGCCGACCGAGACTGCAGATGTTGAGAAGATTGTTTGCCCACAGTGTGGTGTTGTATGTTCTGGACCTCGTGGGCTCCATATCCATCAAGCGAGGGCTCATCAGGCGTTCGATGTTATATCTCGTGGTGTTACTGAGTGCCCCCATTGCCAAGCTAAATTCAGTCGGCGTGATTGTCTCGTGAAGCACATTCGTCTCATCCGCTGCCCTTTTTTCTCAGACGGTTCAGTTGCATCCGCGGCGGCACCACCTGTGCCAGAGGGAGGCGATGTTCAGCACCCCAGGCCGCCCGACGCGAAAGGCCGCCCGACGACCCGCCGGGGCGGAAGGGGAAGGACGCGAAGAAGGGCAGGGTCGAGGTCGCGGCCGAGGCAGGCCCAGCGGAAGGCAAGGACAAGGGCGGCAAGGACAAGGACGCGGTCGTGGGCGGCCGCCGAAGAGTGCAGGAGCTCCAGCTGATGGAGGCGATGGCCACGCTGACGATCCAGCTCGACGAGGAGCGAGCGGTACAGAGCAGGGCTCAGAACTTCATGCTGGAGGGCAAGTCAGACAGCGAGCTCATGCAGGTGATGGACTGGACCATCGAGCAGTGCGACAAGGCGGGCGTGGACGCGCGCCAGGACGCAAAGGCCAAGGGCGTGGGGTTCAAGGGGAACCCGTTCGGCAAGAAGCCAGTGGCCCTTTTTTCGGGCATGCTCTTCCGTCTGGGAGGTCAGGCCGAGAAGTCAGAGTCGAGGAAAGCGATCTTGGAGAAGATCAAGGAGAGGGTGCAGAAGCAGGAGCTCGCGGACACTGCACCAGCGGCGGCCTCCGCCCTGCTGGACCAGTTCGTGGTGTTCGGCAAACAGGCGTCGACGCTGCCCCCGAAGTTTCGGGCATCGCGATGCTTCAAGATAGAGTGCAGCCAAAACGCCGAGGACGGCCTCCAGGACGACGTGGCCATGACTAAATGGATCTTCGCCATTCCCTCGTGCCGCGAGATAGAGTCTGTGCTAATGCAGTCCCGTGAAGCCCAGTTACTTCGTGGCATCGGCTTAGAGTTGGACTTTGACCACGGTCCGAGGAGCAAGGCGGCAAACAATGCTGCGAAGATTGCATTCGGATCTGATAGTGCGAAGGGGAGTGGCAAGGGCCAAGGTGGCCTCTTCTCGAAGAAAGTGAGAGCGTGAGGCGAGTGGGGTCCGAGCTAGCCGCAGAGGTGGTGTGCTCGGCCTCGCCCTCGACTGCGCCGTGCGGCCGTAGTGCTGCACGCGTCGAGGCAGGAGCCTGCCTCGATGATGGCTACGCCTAGCACGCTGAAGCCTCCTGGACGGGCAAGCGAGGTGCCATACACATATATATATATATATGTCCGTAGCCATTTTGGCTCAAGGGTTTTGCGCTTGTGGCCAAACCGTAAGCCTACGACAGCCCATCGCATCAATCCGTGTGCTTCCCGCATACACGGAGCGCAGCGGCCACGCCATGGCATGGTCGACGTCCACCGCGGTGCAACAGTGGTGGGCCCCATCAAAGGAGCACGACTCGCAGGCCTGGTGGTGGCACTGTGGCGCGTGCTCTGGTTGGAACCAGGTTGCGGCCAAGAAGTGCAGGCGGTGCGGCATGAAGAAGAGCTGGGCTGCGAACCATGGCTCGGGCCTCACCGCCGGTGGCGGCCATGGAGCCGGCGATCCTCCGCCTTGCCCGTGGCACGCAGCTCCGCCGACAGCCGTGCCTGTGATGGGGGCCCAGGACAAAGCGTCTACACGTGCCAAGCATGTTGCGAACGTCCGTCACATCGAGGCTGCCATAGCAGCGTTGCCCGACGGCGACCCTGCATTCGCGTCTTCGCGGGCTACCCTGCAGGCCCAGCTGACCGCCGAGAAGAAGGCCATCACCTCGACGAAGTCCCTGGCCGCGCAGATCGAGGGCTGCCAGCAGGCCACCCTCCGGTCCCAGGCGCGGGCGACCAAGCTCCAGACCACCATCGACGAGTCGGTCAAGGAGCTGAAGAACGAGAGCGAGCACGCAGCCTCCCGCAAGGAGGAGCTCGCGTCCCTCGAGGCCCAACTTGCAGCGGGAGCTGCAGCCACACCTGCCGACTCCATCCAGTCGGCCACGATCGCCTTGACGGGGATGCTCAGCGACATGATGGCGTCCCCGGCCGTCCCTCCAGAGCACGTCCAGCAGGTCCAGAACCAGGTCAAGGTGCTGCTCGAGGGGTCCAGCAGATTGCTGCAGCTGCCCGCAGCATGAGTGCCTCAGCGGCGGTGACCGCTCCGCCCGAAGAGGACGCGGCCATGGGGACATCGCTTACACCAGCGATACGGCCATGGTCAGATGCCGAGCCCGGGACAGCGAGTGGGGCTGCGCCGATGCCTGCCAATGGCCGCAGACCGCTCCGCGCCAAGACGATTCCCGCCGATGCCCCGCAGTACGGCCTCCCGGACGTATCTGGCGCGCCAGTCCCTCACGGGGAGGGGGGCGGAGTCGCGGGGTAGAGCCTCCGTCCACAGGGGACCCGGCGGTGGACACTACGCCTAATACCAACCAGTCGACATCGACGCAATACCTGCGCGTTGCCACCGCCAACGTCCGCACTCTCAACAATAGGAAGTACGATAACGAATGCATGATTTCTGCAGGTGTTGCGGCTTTGGGACGAGCCCAGCTCCTCGAAATCCAATTCGCCAGCGTTGGCGCTGACATTGTATGCATACAAGAAGGTCGCTCTCCCTGTGCCCAGGTGAAGAGTGGCATCCACTACTCCATGCTCATCGCTGCTGCCGATGCGGGCCAATTCGGCGTGCAGATTTGGATAAAGCATGGCCTGAAGCACACAGCCATTTTCTCTCATAAGGTTTCACCTCGATTGGTCATCCAAGTTGTGGCCCTTGCCAACGGTGCGACGGTGTCCGCACTGAGCGCGCATGCCCCCATCGAGGCGGCGCCAGACTCGGCCAAGTGCGTCTTCTGGGACGCCATGGCTCATTGGACATCGTGGCTGAAGTCAAGATGGCCCTCCACGCATCTCATCATCGGCATTGACGCTAACGCGCGCGTCGGGTCGGTGCCCGCGGACAGCATCGGCCAGTGCATGCCGTCCACTGAGAACCACAACGGCCCCCTGCTCAGGCATTTTCTGGGCGAGGCGAGCCCGGGCATACGGGCTCTTAACACATTCGCTGGAGGTGGCTACACATGGCGATCCGCGCATCAGACCACAGCCCGCATAGACTACATCTTGTCGGATGCGGACGTGCCCTGGGAGGCTGCCCCCCCGCGCGTGCTCGACGACGTTGAGCTGGCCACCAGCGCCTGCGAGGACCACAGGGCAGTCCTCGCCACCGTCATCGTGGCAGGAACGGACACCAGTGTCCAGCCCAAGCCTGCCATGAAGATCAGTGTCAACAAGGCTAACCTCACGGACCCACGGTGCGTCCAAGCCTTCCAGGATTCCCTCTGGCGCGCGGTCCCAGAGGTCACCGGCGCCCTGAATGCCGACGCCAAGCTCGAGCGAGTCATCGAGGTGGTAAAGAACGCTGCCGCGAACGCCTTCGGTCCTGCTCCTAAGGTTCCGCGCCAACCGTGGATCACGCAGCGTACGTGGGCGTTGCTACGGCCGGTGCCCATGCTGCGACGCGCCATGTTCGACCTGAAGCGCCTCGTGAACAAGCAGCTGGTGCGCTACGCCTGGCTGGGGTGGAGGTCGCTCTTCAGGCGCGCATTTGTTCCTGACGATGTTCGGGCGCATGCCCCTCCCGCCACCGCCCGCCCCCGCGGCCGAGAGGGCCGCGAAGTGGCGGCGGTTGGCGGTCCGCCGCGCCGCGCGACCCAACCTGGTGGGCGGGGCGACGGGCACCGCGCTGGAGGAGCGGGAGGAGCCGCCTCCGGGGTCTCGGCGGACCGCCACGTCGGTCGGCCGTTTGCCCGACCAACGTCCCCGGGGCCCCGCGGGCCCGGGCCAGCGGAGCTGCCATTGTGGACACCGCAGCCTGATCGGCCGCGCTCCGACTCCGTGATATGCGCGACTGCCTCCCCAGCCGAGTCCAGGGCAGAAGCCCTTCATAGCAATGGCGGGCCTGCCTGCGCGGGCATCGCAAAGGGGCAGGCCCGTGGCGGACCGGCCGCAGGGAGCCGCCCACCGAGAGCAACGCACTCTCGCGGTGACCAACCAGACTGCGCTGGTTGGCGAGCCCTGGCAGAGGCAGCCGCCGTGCGGCGCATTGCTGTCAAGCTCAACATGGCCGTCCAGCAGTGCTGGCAAGGACTCGACAAGGCCCATCGAGCCATGCGGGGAATGGCCATCGACGACAAGCGGCGCTTCATGCACGACATGGCGCGGAAGGCGGCGTGCGCGAATGAGCGCAGCGACAGCAAGGAGTCGCGCCGCATCGCGCGCCTCCTGGGCGGCTCCAAGCCTCGCGCCCTCGAGGCGATTGCGAACAAGGACGGCTCGCTAGCGAAGACCCCGGCGGAGCGAGCGGACCGGTGGATCGATCACTTCACCGAGCTCTTCGCCGGCTACACCCTCCCGTCGTGGAGGGACGCGAAGACTGAGCACCCGGGGCCTCGCTCGACAGGTGCCTTCAACCCGACCCTCGCGCAGGTCGACGCGAAGATGCAAGCGCTTGGTGGTGACAAGGCCCAGGGGCCTGATGGATTGCCCCCTGGTGCGATCAAGGCGGGGGGCTGCCCCATGGCCGTCTTCGTCCATTCGATCGTCAATGACATGGTGGTCACGCGGTCCTGGCCAGCCCGCTGGAAGGGGGGCCGCATGGCCACGCCGTGGAAACGGAAAGGCCCCCCCAAAGAGTGCAATGACCACCGCGGCCTCCTGGTCGCGGACAGCATGGCCAAAATCCCAGCAGGGCTTCTGAAGGACGAGATCATGCCGATCGCCAACGGGAAGCTGCCTGAGACGCAGTACGGGGGCAAGCTGGGCGGAGGCACAGACTTTCCATCCCACACCCTGCGGCTGCTTACAGAGCTCGCGGACGCGAGCTCCATGTCCTGGTGCATTGTCTTTTTTGACTTGACGCAGGCACTCGACCGGGTTATCCGGGAGATCGTCTACGGTTGGCCGCCATGCCCGGGCCCCCAATGGGCTCGCGATGCGGCTCGTGCAGGCTACCTCCGCCAGTGCGGCCTGACGGTCAGAGCTGCCGTCAAGGTGGTGTCCCACATTGATAAGCGGGGGTCGGTGCTCGAGCGCTGGAGCATTGACCCGGCGGTCATAGCGCTCACGCAGAATCTCCATGATCGCGCCTGTTTCGCAGTTGAAGGGGCTGAGCGAGTGGTCGTCACAACCACGGGCGGCCGCCAAGGCTGCAAACTGGGTGGGCTCATCTTCTGCTGCGTATACGAGGAGGCCCTTGCAGCAGTACGCAGTACCCTCAAGCAAGCCGGCATTGCCCTTGTGCTGAACACTGCCAAGGGCATCCCCTTCTGGACCCCGGCTGAGAACGGCGACGCCGTGAACCTCACGGTTGAAGTCACATACGTCGATGATGAGGCGATCGCCATAGTCGCCCGTTCCTCCACCCAGCTCCGCGAGGCCATCTGCACGGTGACCAACCTTTACGCCAAGGTATTCGCCGAGTTCGGCCTGCGCATCAACTGGAAGAAGGGCAAGAGCGAAGCTATCGTCCGCTGCCGCGGCCCGGGTGCCACGAAAGTCGTTGATGAGCTGAGGTCCGAGGGCGGCCTCCGCATCCCGCTCGACGACGGAACTACCGCCATGCACGTAGTGGATGGGTACCAGCACCTCGGCGGCGTGATCTCCGCCAGCGGGAGCATGGTGCCAGAGGCCCGGCAGCGAGCCTCCTCGGCTATGTCTGCCTACTCCCCGATCGCGTCCAAGGTATTCTCCTCGGATGTCATCGGTACCACCATGAAGCTCCACCTGCTCCACAGCCTGGTCCTGTCGAGACTGCTGTACAACGTCGCCATATGGACAATGTCCCCCGCGGCTCTCAAGCAGATCAACGGTCCCTGCATGCGTGCCCTGAGAAGCATTGCTGGCGATATGAAGGCTGGGCGCGCGCCTGCCTTCTCGGACCTCGCAGTCCGCCAGGGGCTACATGCACCGTCCATCGACTGCCTCGTTCTGCGAAAGCGCCTCCGCTACTACCACCGACTGGTGGCCCACCAGCCCTCCGCGGTGTGGGCCCTTATGCAGGCGCGCCCGCGAGGGCGGCCCCTGCCGCGTGTTGCGCAGGTGATCGTGGACCTCAACCTACTCCGGCGCCTGGCGCCTGAGTTGGACGCCGTGCCTGGCTGCGCCGAGGCCCCCAGCATGCGGATGTCTCGCATGAGAGAAAACGACTGGACCTCGATTGTACAGCGAGTCTTCTTCTGTGAGTCGTCGCTGGACAAGGTGGCCGTGCAAGGCTGCCCCGCCCCGCCGGGCGTGCAGTTCCGGTGCGATAGGTGCGACGCCAGCTTCCCGACCAACAAGGCGTTGTTACAGCATAAGCGGATCGCTCATAAGCAGACTGCTCCTATCAAGGCGTTCATTGAGGATTCGGGCGTATGCCCCGCGTGTAAAACAGACTTTTTGGAGCGGCACCGCGTCATGCGACACGTGTCTGATAGCCGCCGCCCGGCTTGCCGCACCCAGATCATGTCGACTTTGCCAGTGCAGAGCCCAGAATTGGTGGCTGCGTGGGAGGCCCGCGACAACGAGCGAGTCAGGCTAGCCAGACGAGCTGGCTCGACCCACATCCTGGCGGCCGGCCAGGCGGTCACAGCCGCAGGCCGCCGCATAGGACGTGCTACAAAATAAATGCAGTATTTACGAATCACTTGAGACTCCTTCAGGGAATTCCTCGCCGCACAAAAATACATATATATATATATATATATATATATATATATATTACTTGTTGTTTCCACGTATTATTTTTACGCGTTGTTGTTGCGTGTTGTTTTTACGTGGTTCGAATGAATTTTCACGTGTATTACGCGTTGTGCTCACGTAGTGCTTACGCATTGTGATCACGCGCTGTTTTAACGTATTCTTGTTACGTATTGTTTTTTTTAATGTGTTGTTGTTTCGTTTTTTTTTTTTTTTTTTTTTTTTTTTTTTTTTTTTTTTTTTTTTTTTTTTTTTGACGTTTTGTTTTTAAGTTGTGGTTTTACGTGTTGTTTTACGCATCGTTTTCACGTGTTGTTTTTACGTGTTGTTTTCACGTGTTGGTTTACGTTTTTGTTTTGACGCGTTGTTTTTTACGTGTTGTTTTTTTTTAAACGCGGTTCAACGAATTCTCAAGCGTATTACGCGTTGTGCTCATATGATGTTTACGCGTCGTGATCACGCGCTGTTTTAACGTATTGTTTACGTGCTGTTGTAGTGCTGTTGTTCCGTATTGTTTTTACGTGTTGTGTTGTTTACGTATTATTTTCACGTGTTGTTTTGACGTGCTGTTTCTACGTGTTGTTTTACGTGTGTTGAGCGAATTCTCACGTGCATTACGCGTTCTGCTCACGTAGTGTTTATGCGTTGTGACTACGCGTTGTTATAACGTATTGCTTGTTGTTACTCATTGTTTTTATGTGTTGCTTTTTGTATGTATTGTGTTCCATTTATTGTTTTTGTACGTATTGTTTTTACGTTTTGGTTTGTAACTTTTGTTTTACGCGTTGGTTTGACGTATTGTTTTACGTGTTGTTTTTACGTATGGTTTTTACGTGTTGTTTTCTTCTCACGTTTACGTATCGTTTTTACGTATTGTTTGTACGTGTAGCTTCTTCTCACGGTTAGATTCAGCCCTCACGTGGGCCGCTTCCAGGGCCCCCGTCTCCGGCATGTCCGGCTGGGGTTCTGCCCCCGCCGAGGAGGCCGCCGCGGGAGGGCCCTCGGACCCAGTTGCGACGGCGCCATCGACGCCGGACCTCGCGCTGGCGTGCCTTCTGGGAGCTCTCGCGCGCCAGCAGGCCCCTCGAGCGACGCCCCGCCCTCTGGTGGGTTCGCTTACCGAGCAGGCTTCGGCGCAGCAGGGTCTCTCCGTGGTCATCGCGTCCGCGATGACTCAGCTGCGGGGCGTCGCGCGACGTCGGGGGTGGCAGCTGGCGCTCGTTCAGCATGGGCCTCGAGTCAGCGAACTGATGAGGGAGAATTTGGCCCGTGCTCTCGGGGTTCGCCTGGGAGACGTGACGTCCATGGCTATGTCCCAGTATTTTGGGGGGCAGAGTCCTCTGGGCGGTCAGACGTCGACCTGCGAGGGAGCTCCAACGAACGCCGCAGTGGCTGCGCTCGCATGCGTCACCCACGCCCATTCCGGCACACCCCTCACGCGTTTCGTGGCCCCATAGGGAGCTCCACCGAAGGCGCCAGTGCCACCGCCCGCATGCGTCACCCACACCCATTTCGGCACACCCCTCACACGTTTCGTGGCCCCATGAGCGGGTTCCGCCGAAGGCCCCAGTGCCACCGCCCGCAAGCGTCACCCACGCCCACTTCGGCACACGCATCACACGTTTCGTGGCCCCATAGGGAGCTTCACCGAAGGCCCCGGTGCCACCGCCCGCGTGCGTCACCCACACCCCACACGTTTCGTGGCCCCATGAGGGGAACTCCACCGAACCCCACAGTGCCACCGCCCGCATGCGTCACCCACACCAACTTTGGCATACCCCTCACCTGCTTCTTGGCCCCATAGGGAACTCCAACGAGGGCGCCAGTGGGTGGCGTACGCATGCGCCACCGCACCCACTTCGGCACACGCATCACACGTTTCGCGGCCCCATAGGGAGTTCCACCGACGGCCCCAGTGGCTGCGTTCGCATGCGCCCACCGCATCAATTTCGGCACACTTCTCACGCGCTTCGTGGCCCCATACGGAATTCGACCGACGGCCCAAGTGGCTGCTTTTGCATACGCCCACCGGACAAATTTTGGCACACGCCTCACACGTTTTGTGGCCCCATAGGGAGCTCCTCCGGATGCGGTGCATAACGACGGTATTCACAGTTGCATATGGTTGGGTCCCTCGCCAGGCTAATTTCATATGTGCATTTTTCCAAATGCTTCTCTCGCTGAAGCGCTGGCCTCATTGATCGGGCTACCGCTCGTTCCGAATCGTGCTCCCGCTGCAGTGCTGGCCTCGTTTCCGCGCTTCCGCTCGTTCCGAATCGTGCTCCCGCTGCAGCGCCGGCGTCATTATTTTCAGCGCCATGCCCCGGTATGGTTTTGGGTCCTTCCAAGTAGGCTCCAAAATCTAGAAAATGGCCTCCCGAAGAAACCATCGGAAATGATTACACATTCGGTGACGATTCGTTGTTTTTTTTGGGACGCAGAGGCCCCCCACCATGGGGCGTCGCCACGCCATGCTATGTCATGCTACGCGCTGATCTTCAACACCATGCTATGCCATGTAATGCTATGCGATGCTGCGACATCCGACTGTGCGAACAGAGAGGGGATCCACGCCATGGTAACGGATGCTCCTCCTCCTCCTCCTCCCTCCTCCTCCTCCTCCTCCTCCTCCTCCCTCCTCCTCCCTCCTCCTCCTCCTATTGCTCGCTGTCTCGCTCCCGGCCTGGCGCGCCAGCCCCCTCCCCGCGCGGCGGGCCGCGGGAGGCTGGCGCTCGGCGGCCGCCCGTGCGCGCTCGGGCGCTGCGGCGTGCTGGGCGCGGCGCCGCAGGAGCTGGCCGGGGCAGCGGGCGGGGCGAAGAAGGGGTTCGAACCTGGATCGGGCCGGACGAAAGGGGGGATTGGCAAAGGGCGGGTCACGAAATTCGCTGCATGCAGCTGGTTTCGGCCCCACCGAGGGGCCCATTCCTCGATACATAGTCGCCTCCGGCGCCGGGAGGCGCCCGGAAAATCAGCTACATGAGCTGATTCTCAAACCCCCCCTTTGCTATCCCCCCTTTCGCCCGACCCGACTGGAGGCTCGAGGGTGCGTTTGGCATCGAGCAGGTTCGGGCCTCGGGGCTCGAGGCCGTCTTCGCAGTCTTCGGCCTCGCCTGGGGGGCCGCTCTCGGGGCCTGGGGCCCTCGAGAATTCGTCCGGGGTGAGTGGACCTGGGCAGGGGTCAGGGACCGATTTTGAGCCGATAGCCGTCGTCCTGGGAGGGGCAAGTGTCCGCTTGCGATTGGCAAATGACCCCCCCCCCCCCCGGGGGCTGATGAATAGACCCCGCGGGGCGCGAAACAGTTGTTTGATCACTCGCGCCAGGGGGTCGTCGCTGGCGCCGCCGAGGGGATCGTGTACCCCCCTGCATGACAGCCTCAAAACGATTGCCTGTCGTATAGAAGTTATAGGGGTCGTGTACATCCGAGGCGAATTGTTTCCCCCTCTCAGGCGTCGTCATCGTCGTCGTCGCCGTCGGTCGTCGCCACCGCCGTCGTCGTCGTCGTCTTCGTCGTCCTTGTCGTCGTCGTCGTCGTCGTCGTCGAGCACAGCGGGCTTGCGCAGCCCCCCCATAGGCATCCGAAGTGCGTCATCGTCGTCGTCGTCGTTGTCGTCGTCGTCGCCGACGACTACACAGACCACGACACGGGGGGGGAGGAAGACTGCCCGCCTTGCTCGGGTCGGACGAAAGGCTTGGGAAGGAAAGGGTGGAGTGCGAAACCTGCTGCGCGCGGCTGGTTTCGGTCGCCCCGCCGAGTGGCCAGTCCTCGATGCATGGCCGATTCCGGCGCCAGGGTGCGCTGGGAAAATCAGCAACGTGAGTTGCTGGGCAAATCCCCTGTTGGCCACAGCCCCCTTTCGTCCAGCCCGCCTTGCTCGCGGGCCCGCGAGGCAGCTGGTGCCCCCCTGGCTGCGGCCAGGGTAAAGGAAGCGCGTCGGCTTGACAGAGAAAACATTGAAAATGCGGGGGCGAGCGCCGACGCAGTTCTTTTTCATTTCAGATAGGTGTCGCCCTGGCTCGCGGTCCTTGCTTCTGCCGCCTTTGCCTCCCGCCCCCCTACACTCCCCCAGTTTGTCTGGGTAGTCGAAGGCCAGACTGTCAGATTGGATTGGGCCCCAAGGGCCAGTCTGGCCTGGCCAAACTGGATGATTTGGGTTATTCGCCAGACTGGATTCGCGTTGGCTCCCTCGCTAGATTGCCCCCGTTTGCCAGATTGGGCCTGCCAGATTGGCGCCAGATTGGCTTCGACTACCCAGTTTGTGCTGTCTGTCGCCTTCCCGCTGGCGGTTGGGCGTCGGCGCTAATCATTGGCGCCGCCGCCAAGATTTTCAATTTGGCGGGTGCCACCCCGCGATTCGCCCGAGCAGGGCAACTTAAAAAAAACACGCGCCCCTTACGGATTCGTTATTCTACATTGACATTACGCACGTATCCACTGCGAGGGCCAGGGGCAATGCCAGTCGCAGTGGATGCGCACATTTTGTTGCCCTCGTGGATGGGGGCGCGGAGCACACGCGGGGGCCACCGTGTGTGTCGCCTTCCTGGTTGTGCCTTCGCGCTGCTCGAAGGGCAGGGACATGAGGGGGAGACGGAAGACATCGACGAGAAGGATGGGGTGGGGGGGGGATGGTGAGGATGATGCGGAGGAGGACTGCGAGGACGAAAAGGAGGAGGGAGGTGGAGGAGGAGGAGGAGGAAAAGAACAACGAGGAGGAAAAGGAGGTGGAGGAGGAAGAGGAGGAGGAGGAAGAGACGGAGGAGGAGGAGGACGAGAAAAAGGAGGAGGAAGAGGAGAAAGAGGAGGAGGAGGAGGAAGATGAGGAGAAGGGGGAGGAGAAGGAGGAGGAAAAGGAGGAGGAGGAAGAGGAGGAGGAGGAGGGAGACGATGATGATGATGATGATGATGATGATGATGATGATGATGATGATGCTGATGCTGATGCTGATGCTGATTGTGATGAACATGCTGCTGCTGATGCTGATGTTGATGATGCTGATGGTGATGATGGTGATGGTGATGATGATGCTGCTGATGATGATGATGCTGCTGATGCTGATGCTGATGATGATGCTGATTCTGATGCTGATGCTGGTGCTGATGCTGCTGCTGCTGGTGCTGATGCTGATTATGATGCTGCTGATGATGATGATGCTGATGGTGATGATGGTGATGGTGATGATGTTGATGATGATGATGCTGATGATGATGATGATGATGCTGACGATGGTGATGATGCTGATGATGATGATGATGCTATGATGATGATGCTGTGATGTTGGATGCTGATGCTGACCGATGAGCTGATGATGATGCTGATGATGCTGATGATGATATGATGATGATGATGATGAGTCTGATGATGATGATGATGATGGTGGTGGTGATGAATGATGCTGATGATGATGAAGATGAAGACTGATGTTGGATGATGATGATGATGTGATGATGATGATGATGATGATAGATGATGGATGATGATGATGAATGATGATGGATGATGATGATGATTCTGTGATCAATGATGATGATTATGAATGATGATGATGATGATGAATGATGTGATGAGATGATATGATGATGATGAGATGATGATGATGATGCTGATGATGATGATGATGATGGATGATGATGATGATGATGATGATGATGATGATGACTGCTGATGCTGATGCTGATGCTGATGCTGATGCTGATGCTGATGCTGATGCTGAGGAGAGGAGGGAGGAGGAGGACGAGGAGGAGAGGACGAGACTAGGACGAGGAGAGAGGACGAGGAGGACGAGGAGGAGGAGGAGGAGGACGAGGGGGAGGAAGGGGAGGCGAAAGGAGGGGAGGAGGAGGAGAAAGAGGAGAGGAGGAGGAGGAGGGGGAGGAGGGAGGAGGAGGAGAAGGGAGAAGGACGAGGAGGAGGAGGAGGAGGAGGAGGAAGGAGGGGGAAGTAGGAGGAGGAGGAGGAGGAGGGGAAAGAAGAGGAGGAGGAGGAAGAGGAGGAGGAGGAGGAGGAGGAAGACCAATGTAACTCTAAGACTCATTTGCGATGTTGGAGTATACGCCCCCCAAGCTTCGTTTCCATAGGCTCTTTTCAGTGTTTATTTCCATTGAGGAAGGGCTTCGTTGGGAGACAACCGTTTGAAGATCCTGTGGAGGACCAAAGCACAATTCAACGCCACGGGTCAACCTAACTGTTGCGTACCGACGATCCTGAATCGCGCCAGAACGCAATTTTTGGGTTCCCAACACTTCGGTTCAACGTAACTTTGCGCCCTGACAATCCTTAATCGTTCCAACATGCCGCTATTGGTACGTTAGCCATGGGAGCCAGTGAAGCTTGTGCAAATGTTTGGGACGAATGTGCGAGGCGCTACGGCGAAAGCCACATTTTCAAAACGAACCGCCCTCAATCCGTGAAGCGTTTCCGTGTTTCTCAACCATCCTGTGGTGTTGGGTCATCGTTTTGAAAGGACGGTCCCCGCGTCCCTCCTCTTCTCTTCTCCTCCCTCCTCCTCCTCCTCCTCCTCCTCCTCCTCCTCCTCCTCCTCCTCCTCCTCCTCCTCCTCCTCCTCCTCCTCCTCCCTGTCCTCATGGGCAGTTCGCATGGCGTCGCCGCCCTATTTTGGTACACCTCTCACACGTTTCGTGGCCCCATCGGGAGCTCCACTTCAGGTCCCAGTGGTGCAGTTCGCATGGCGCGGCCGTCCCATTTTGGCCCGCCCCTCACACGCTTCGTGGCTCCAGAGGGAGCTCCACCCAGGGTCCCAGTGGCGGAGTTCGCATGGCGGCGCCGCCCCATTTTGGCACACCCCTCACACGTTTCGTGGCTCCATGGGAGCTCCACCTCAGGCCCCAGTGGCGCAGTTCGCATGGCGGCGCCGCCCCATTTTGGCACACACCTCATACGTTTCGTGGCCCATAGGGAGCTCCACCTCAGGTCCCAGTGGCGCAGTTCGCATGGCGGCGCCGCCCCATTTTGGCATACACCTCACACGTTGAGCTCCACCTGAGGTCCCAGTGGCGAACTGCGCGTGGCGCCGCCGCCCCATCTTGGCACACCCCTCAAACGTTCTCGTAACCCCATAGGGAGCTCCACTTAAGGTCCCAGTGGCGCAGCTCGCGTGACGGCGGTTGCCCTATTGTGCCCGAGTGCGTGAGCCTCACCCATGTCGTCACATCCTTCACACGTTTCGTGGCCCCATGGGGAGCTCCATGCCACCGCCCGCATGCGCCACCCACGCCCATTCCGGCACACCCCTCACGCATTTCGTGGCCCCATAGGGAGCTCCACCGAATGCGCCAGTGCCACCGCCCGCATGCGTCACCTACGCCCATTTCGTCACCCCTCCCACGCTTCGTGGCCCCATAGGGAGCTCCAACGAAGGCCCTGGTGCCACCGCCCGCATGCGTCACCCACGCGCATCCTGGCACACCCCTCACGCGTTTCTTGGCCCCATAGGGAGCTCAAACGAGGGCGCCAGTGGCTGCGTTCGCATGCGCCCACCGCACCCACTTCGGCACACCCCTCACACGTTTCGCGGCCCCATGGGGAGCTCCACCTCAGGCCCCAGTGGCTGCGTTCGCATGCGCCCACCGCACCTGTTTCGGCACACCTCTCACGCGCTTCGTGGCCCCATGGGGAACTCCACCGACGGCCCCAGTGGCTGCTTTCGCATGCGTACACGGGGCAATTTTTGGCACACCCCTCACACGTTTCGTGGCCCTATGGGGAGCTCCTCCGAATGCGGTGCATACAATGACGGTATTCTCAACTGCATATGTATGGGTCCTTCGCCAG